GAAGGGCGAGATGGGTGGGATGAGAATGAGAGACTGGGGAGCTTTTAAAAAATATGTCTGGGTCAAACCCCCAGAGATGCTGATGGCACTGGTCTAGTCTCCAGATTAATGACTCCAATATTAATGTGCATTGGAATCACCTGGGGACCTTGTTAAAATGAAGATTCTGATTCCGAAGGATGGGGGTGAGACCTGAAAAGTATGCAATTTAACAAGATTCCGAGTGATGCTAATGCCACTGGTCTGTGGATCTCATTTTCTGTAGCAACAATCTACAGTAGGGGTTCCAGAGGGCCGTCCCCGTCAGCAGCACTGGTCACCGAAGAAATGCGTATTCTAGGGCCCCAACTCAGGCTCTGAATCAGAAACTCAGGGGGTGGGTGTTCATACAGCAAGATCCAACGAAAACCCTGAGACTGAAAAGCTACCTCTGGAAGTGGAGAGCAGGGAGAGGCTGAAGAAAGAGGCTGGCCAGTCCAGTCTGGTAACTAGTAGAGTTTATTGAGGGAAACTTAAATACGAGGTGTGTCTGAGGTGACTGCACTACAAAATGGATCCCCTCGCTACTTGGCAGGGGAATTACATAAGGTAAAGGGGTGGATAGTCATGGGAACAAGTATGTGAATGCAACCAGATACAGAAATTAGTTTACATGTTTGACCAGGTCAGGACAACCACCTGTTCCAGGAACCAGCACGTAGCAGAAGGCAGGGAGGGAGGCTTGTTTTTGTCAGAATGAACAAAAGTTACCATCAGGCAGACTGGAGGGGGGCCTTGCAGAAAGCCACCTCCATTCTGGGGGTCCAGCTTATGGGACAGACATGTCAGAGAGCAGTCTCACCTTCACCGGGGAGCCCAGCAATCTATGTTTTAACCCACCCCCAGCTGATTCTTATGCACGTTCTAGAGCAACTTTGTTCATCTCATGGCACACACAAACTAATTCTGAGGCACGCCAAAAGATATTTTTGCTGATCTGACAAAAAATAGATATAATCTTGATTCGTCTACACCAGATAGCTATTGTGTTGGCTGTTGTCATTTTTTAATTTGACAATTCTAAGGGAAAAGAGATCAATGCCCCTGACTAAACAGTGCAAGCCCTTGCTGCACACCAGTTGAAAATTGCTGCTGTAGAGAATTCAAGAAATCCAGAGAGAAGGGAGCTGACGTTCACTATACAGACAAAGTAATGAATTATTGTGGAAGTAAGACAGAAGCAAAGAAAGATCACATTTGACTCTATTTATGTTCCAGCTATGAACAGGTATCATTGTTACAGCAAAATTAAGACATAACCTTGAAATTAGCACATATTTGTTTTAAAAAATGTTTATCTCCCTATCATCACAAGTAGTAGAATTTCTTAGAACACCTTTGGAGCTTGCACACTCACTGCAAAGGTGAGAGGAAAGAGGTGACACACTGGCCCTGGTACTGACATGGTGGGAGTGCCCGGGGTGGGATTAAGGATGGGGAAAGGGACCCTCGCTGCTCAGAGGCTGCAACATTGCGAGAGGTCTCGGCGAGGGGAGGTGTTGAAAGTGGCAGTGTCATTATGTTCAGTGAAATAAGCCAGTCGGTGAAAGAAAAATACCCCATGATCTCACTCATTTATGGAAAATAAAGAACATTATAACCTGATGAACAAAAAGATAGATACAGAGGTAGTAAAGTACCGAACAGACTGTCAAATTACAGGGAGAAGGCTGGGGAGTGTTGGGGCGAGGAGAGAGATAAACCAAAGGACTTGTATGCATGCATATAAGCACACCAATGGACACAGACACTGGAGGTGTGGGATGAGTCTGTGATTAGTCAAGAAGACAGAATCACATACTTCAAAGAAAAAAAATGCATTAAAAGGTTGATTTGGACACCATAACATGAGCTAATTTTTCTAGTGTGTTTTGTCATACTAGTACACATCTAGCGCTTAGCAGTTGTTTGGTAAATATTTGCCAACTGAATGAATGAAACAAAAACCTTTCTCCAAGGTCCATTCTTCACCCAGAACAAATGGTGTGGCCTGCAGAAAGGAGAGGAGGCTCAAAGGGATCCCTTAGGGACGCCAGTTCAGGGTTCTGTCTGGGTACAGGCGAGTCTCCGTGACACGGCCCCGGAGGAGGAAGGTCCACGTCGAAAAGCCACACCCTGCTGTCCCCCTCCAGTGACCCCGCCTCACCCCTGCCAGGCCTCCCTGGACACCCCTCCTGTAAGTCCAGGAGAAGGACACTCTCAGCGGGGGGTGAGAACAGTTTTAGATTTTAGATAAATTTTTCTAATATTCGTTACCATGACCCATAGTAGGAAAAATTTTATTTTGTGAACCAGGAAGACACCAACCAACATGAAATTGGACAAAAGTTTCACAATACAGCAATTACCCTTACTATGTGGGATGAGCCGATTTACCAATTCTATTCTTGCCCATTCCTCCCCATGGAAGAAAAATGTGACCCACTCCACTGATTTCACAATCGACTAATGGGTGAGACCAGCGTTTTGAAAACAACAGCACAGTGATCAGCTGGCGCCATGGTCGGCAAACTGTGGCTCGCGAGCCACATGCGGCTCTTTGGCCCCTTGAGTGTGGCTCTTCCACAAAATACCACGGCCTGGGTGAGTCTATTTTGAAGAAGTGGCGTTAGAAGAAGTTTAAGTTTAAAACATTTGGCTCTCAAAATAAATTTCAATCATTGTACTATTGATATTTGGCTCTGTTGACTAATGAGTGTGCCGATCACTGGGCTAGAGGGATGGGTGCAGGGACTCCACTCAGGGACCCTTTAGTGAAGGATCCTGCACCATGCCCAACCTGCAGACACTCTTAGATCACAGGAAAGTCGGATGTAAATCCTTTTCTAGAATCTTAACAAGAAAGCTCCAAGGAGAGGTCTTTACTTCTATACCTAAACTATTATACCACAAATAAAATATCAGTAAGGTTCTTTTTAAAAAATATATTTTTTATTGATTTCAGAGAGATAGGGAGAGAGTGAGAGAGACAGAAACATCAATGATGAGGAATCATTATCAGCTGTCACCTGCACGCCCCAACTGGGGATGGATCCTGCATGAGCCCTGACAGGGAATTGAACCCTGACCTCCTGGTTCATCATCAGCATTCAACTACTGAGCCATGCCAGCGGGGCATCAGTAAAGTCCTTATCCATGACCTTCCACAAGGAAGAAGCCACTTCTGACTGCCCAGACAGGAACTCTGTGAGTAGAAAGACTTTTCAAATAATCCTCAGAAACCTGCAGAACAGAGTCTAAGGACTGCTGCTGTCTGCTTCTTCCTCTAGCTAAGGGGACTTGGAGGCGACACTGTACATGGCTAATCAAGTGACAAAGCAGAAGTTGGTGGGCATGTTGAGAGACCCTTGTTTACGGATTCACTGGGTTGTAGTTCACAACCCAGCTAGTTGTGCCTCCCCACCTCCAGGGGGCACTGTTCACACAGACCGCATCGCGAATGAGGACCTCTGGAAACAGGCTTATGTTTTAAACTGAAAAATAAAACAGAGGTACAGAGTTGTTGGTCAGAATGTCCAACACATTCTCCTTCAACCCTGACTACATCTACTGACGTGTGTCTTTCACGAAGAGCAGCTTCTCCGGGTGGGAGTGGGTAAAGATCTTAAAGGTTTCGAATCATCTCTCTGTTCTGACTTTGTATATTAATAACCAGGGCAGGCTACACATTCGCTATATTAAGACCAGGCATGTGTCCCCAGACCTCGTTCTTTCCCTGGATCTGGCTTTATAAATGCTGGTGATAAATCAAGTCTGATTTGTATGATGCATCTTAAGTGGGAAATGTGTGACTCCAGGTGACTTTGATCGACCTCAGGAAATGACAGCACCGCTAGCACAATAGATAACCACTGCTAATTTCAGGATTACCAGCTGCTGTTAAATGAATTGTAAAATTATTATTTTTTATTTTTTTAAATATATTTTATTGATTTTACACAGAGAGGAAGGAAGAAGGATAGAGAGCTAGAAACGTCGATGAGAGAGAAACATCAACCAGCTGCCTCCTGCACACCCCCTACCCGGGATGTGCCCGCAACCAATGTACATGCCCCTGACCGGAATTGAACCTGGGACCTTTCAGTCTGCAGATCCACGCTCTACCGCTGAGGCAAACCAGTTTCAGCTATTGTTTTATTTTTAAAAATGAAAGATCTTAAAGACTGGAACTCTCAGGACCCATCCGTTCCTATTTGGGAAATCTAAGACTCAGTTTCATCACTATTAAAGTAGTAATCATGACAACACTTAGCCACCAACCTGAGGCAAATAAGGTGCATTAAAGCTCTTTACCAATGTCTGGTAGCCAGGTCTTGCTGCAGCTTCTTGCCCTCAGGCTTCCTGCCTGGGTTTGCTACCTCCTGGCTGGAGAAGTAGGTTGCAACACAGTTGCTTATGCACGGTAGTTCTGCAGGAAGGTATTGTGCCTAAACTTTATGATTTAGTCTGAGCCAGGAGAGAAGTGGGGCTCTGAGCACTGAACTCAGCCCAGAATTCCTTTCACTTGATTCTAAAAAATTTTGCTGCCATAAATAGGCATAAAATAATTTCTTGAATCACTACTGTCATTATCCTGGGTTCCTTGTATATACGTCATAACATTTATTTACAAAACATAGAAACACAATACACCTTTGATCTCAAAGACAACCATTTTTATTGCAGCATCTCTCTGTACCTTATGAACTAACTATAAAATGAACAATCATATTTCCAAAGACTAGGAGAATGAAGACGTGTCAAACCTCCCTAGAGCACATTTCCCGACTGGGACTGCATGAGGTTAAAATGAATGTCTCTGAGGAGGTACATGAAAGGAAAACTAGAAAGATCAATACACTTACTTTTTGTATCTTGATTGAAAAAAAAATTATGCTAACGAAGTTACTGGCCAACTTACAAAATGTGCACCGCTCTGAATCTTCCTAACAGCGTCTATTCCCCTTTCAGTCCTTAGTGTCCTACAGACCTGTTTTCTCTGCCGTCCCAGCACTGGGGCAGGAGGCGCCGTGCTTGGCCATGCTGGTGGCAGGCGTCCGCAGGCTAGCGCTGGTCTCCGTGCGGCCAGCCGCGTCTCCTCCCGCGGTGCCCTCCGTGTTTCTGCTTCTGCAGAATCCTCTCTGTGCAGGCCGTCTCCCCCGAAGCAGCTTCCAGGCCGCTGCTCTGTACTTCTTTGAAATGAGATTGTAGAGGATCGGGTTAATGGACGCACTCAGATAGAAGAGTTGCAGCGCAACGATGTTAAAGTATTGAGAAAAGTACATGGTCTGGGAATCTTCCGCATTTATGTAAATGATTCTGCCAATGTGGAAGGGCAACCAGCAAACGATAAAGGACAGAACCACCACCACTGCAAAACAAGACACAGGCACCAGAGTGAGCGAAGGCGTTTAAAACCAGCGGGGGTAATAAGTAACAGCAAACAATCAGATAAAACCTGGACCTAATCAAATCCCCGGCCCACCTACATTTGCCTTAAAGTTGCAGATTTGGCTAATACCTGTGCTACCAAGGCTGGACGTATAATACTAAAGCAGAAGGAGCAAATTCTATGAACGAGCTGACAGGCTTCCTTTCCACACAGCCACTCCGCGACATGGTCTCTGCTTTCCGGTGAAAAGAATTCTGCAACAGGTCATGCATGCATGTATGCATGCAAGTATGTATGTATGCATGTATGGTTATCGGCATGGTTCACTTTAACCTTCAGGAAAACTTAGCATTAAGTAAAGACATTTTGGCTTAACGTGATCTACCCTGTATTCTCAAGGATGCTGTGAGAATCCACATCTGCGGCCTCTAACAGGGAATCTAAGCGCCCCAATCACTGCTCTCAGCTCAGCCCGCTCCTCGCTCCCGGCGGCTCCGAGACGTGGCTGCGCACAGGCCCCGGGTCCCCCAGCCTCAGGGCCCCGGGGACACAGCCGGCGGGGGCGCCGGGCCGGGGACCAGGCGGGCGGCGCGGGTGGCACGGACGCGGCGCCACTTACGCAGGACGCGGACGGTCTGCCGGTGGCCCCGGGCCCGCCCGGAGGCCGCGGGGCCCCGCAGCGGCCGCCGGCTCCGCCGCAGCTCGCGCCCGATGAGGCCGTGGAGGACGCAGAGGCACAGGAGCGGCAGGAAGAAGTAGGCGGTGGTGACCCACAGCATGACGCGCAGCGCGCCCAGCTGCGAGGGGCTCGGCCGGCACTCGCGGCTGAACAGCGCGGCCGCCTCGCGCCCCGACGGCGGGGACTGAGCCGGGGGCAGAGCCGGCTCCGGCGGGGCCCCGCGGGCAGGGGGCGCGGGCGGCGGCGCGGGGCCCGTGGCGTTGCGGCCCGGCGGCGGGTCCTGCTGGACGCCCACCACGAAGAGGAAGGGCGCGGCCGAGAGCAGCGCCACGGCCCAGAGCGCGGCGATGAGCGCGCGGGCGCGGGCGCGGGTGGCGAGGACGCGGGCGCGCAGCGGGCGGCACACGGCCAGGTAGCGCTCCGCGCTGAGCGCCGCGGCGTGCAGCAGCGAGGCGTAGGTGCAGCCCTCGCCCAGGTACAGCGACAGGCGGCACAGCAGCGGCCCGAACACCCAGGGCCGCGAGCGCCACAGGCGGTACAGGTCCAGCGGCAGCCCCAGCAGGATGAGCAGGTCGGACACGGCCATGCTGCCCAGGTACAGGTTGGTGGTGGTGCGCCTGTCCCGGGAGCGCCCGATGAGCAGCACCGTCACCACGTTGCCGCTCACCCCGACGGCGAACAGGCCCAGGCACACGGCGGTCACCGGCACCAGCGCCCCCAGCGGGAAGGGCGAGCAGCGGTGCTCGGTGCAGGGAGGCAGCGCGGCCCAGGGCGGCGGCCCCGCGCCGAGGCTGCGGTTCCCGGGGCTGCCCATGGCGGGCCGTGGGGTCCCTCGGCGCCGCCTCGCCCCCCGGTGGGCCGGGAGCCGAGCGCCGGGCTCCGCTGGCGGAGAAGCGCGTCCTCTGGCGGCCCGCGCGGCCCCTGCCCGCCGCCCGCCCCGGCGGCACTGCCCGAGCCCCGCACGCAGCCCTGCGGGTCCTCGTGGAGGCGCCCCCGAGGGTAGCGCGCAGGCTCCGCCTCCGGCCACTGCCCCCTCCGCACCCTCGCCCAGGCGGGCGGTTTCCAGGCGGCTTCCCCCTCCGCCAACTGGGAGGCGGGAGGCGGCCGAGAGCACCGGCCCCGCCTCGTCTCAGGGCGCCTTTCTGAGCCCCGTGAGGTTGGCTCCTGCGTCGGCGCTTCTGTTGGTCCCGTCCAGCGGGCACCTTGGGGGATGTCTGTGGGGCTGCTTCCTCATGGTCAGGAGGCTGCCACAGTACTCCGGTATGAGTTCCTCCTGGTGTTAGTTCTGGCTCTACAACCCAGCGCTCCTGGATCAGCCCCCGCCTCCTTCAGCCCAGTTCTCTTCTGCAAATTCTCCAGGGACGGTGGGCGAGCTGACCAAATAATTTCAACCATCTCTTACAACTCTAAAACCTATGGGCAAGCCCATGTCTATCACCGTAAAGAGCAAGGCTTAAGTATTTGCGTGTATATTTGAGTATTTAAACCTATGCTATATTGCTCCTATGTACAGAATACTTCATAAACGTAAAAAGTTGAGTATTTGCCAACACTAAAAGGAACTAAAATTCTGGGGGGAAAGACTCAAACTGAGTTAATTCATGTGGTCTTTATTTATTTATATGTATTGTGGAAAGTATTACAGATCTTTCCTTCTCCCTATTGCCTCCCATCCCCCAGCCTTCACGCCACTATTGTCTATGTCCAAGGGTTATGCATATATGCATATAATATCTTTGGTTAATCTCTTCCCGTCCCCCACCCCCTACTTTCCCTCTTAGATTTGTCAGTCTGTTACATTCTTTTATGTCTCTGGATCTATTTTGTCAGTTTATTTTGTTCATTAGAGTCCACATATATGTGAGATCATGTGATACTTTTTTTCCCCTCTGACTAGTTATTTCACTTAACATAATAATCGCCTGCCTCAAGGTGTTGTTCTAAGTACTTGTGTATGTTTTGCAGTCCTCACCCAAAGCACCACGGATAGCTCTGGAACTTTTCTGGGAGTTATTTATCTCTGTGTGCATGGACACCACTAGCATTTTTACCTTCCTCATCACTGCTGTTCCCAGTCATCTTAAAACTTAGTCTTGAAACGAACTTCCTCAGGTTTTCCAGCCCTCCTTCATCACCCACACTTACCCCTGAGGATTTTGTTGCCTGCCCCTCTCTCAAGCATTCCTCCTGATAAAACTTACACCTACACATGAGTCTGGCCATGCCTTGGTTTCTCCTTTCTATCTGATCTTGTCTCCCCATCCAGGGCAGTGGCTCCTGTGGCCATCCCTTATGCTGCATTCATAACTGCAAGGATCTGGGAATCCTCCTTCACTTCCATTTCAGTCATACCAATTTCCGACTTTCACCACCCATCTTGCTAGCTCACTTTCTCTAATACCTCAACCCCTACAATCCTTTAACTGTACTGGGACCTCCAATGGTTGCTCCTCCTCCCTTTTCCTTGTCCCTCATCTGCCTCAAGTCCTTACTTTACCCAATTTAAGCTCCATGAGTGACCCTGCTCACTCTCAGGCAAACACCTTCAGCTCCTGTGCTTTCTCCATTGCCACGGCTGTCTCCTGGGCCAGAGGACAGCCCGCCTAAACAGAATCCAATGACTACTCCATGCACACTCCAAATAGCTGCTGTTTCACTTGAAATTCTCAACCTCTAGGGGGGTGCTTAGTTTCCCCCAGTCATCCTCATCCTCTTCCATTCAGTCCCCCACCTCCAGGCCACTCTTCTGTGCACCCTCCTCTCTCCTCAGCCCCCAAGAACTCTTTCCCTACCTGAAATAGGACGAATTCAAATTCTAAGCAAGGTTACAGGCAGAACTTCCTTTTTTTTTTTTTTTTTTTTTTTTTTTTATTAAAGAGCCAGCCCTATGTGCACTTGGTGGTTATCTCAATGCTGGCCTTGAAAAACAATGCTGTTCAATGAGAAGGTGCACCTGGCATGGTATTGAGATTGTGGGCATATCTGGTCTCTGGCCTACAAGGTCAGACAGCTAAGTTTATCTTCATCATCCTTCAAAAGGGCTAAAGCAAACTAGAAAGCAACATTTTATCTAGGAAGAACAGCAGAAAATTCCAAACAACAGTTTGTTGCAAAACAGGGGTTTTCCTTCTCAGAACCTTTAAAAATAACTACCTGCCCCTAAAGAGGCGCAGTCATTTGAAGTCCACCTGTGTGTGGTGCTCTTGTGACTGTCCTGGCCAGATATTTCAATAAATCTTTGCCTGCTTTTTTTTTTTTTTTTTTTTTTTTAAATAAGTCATCAGCCTCTGGTCATCACCCCCCGCCCCAGGGTTCGACCCCACAACACTACCCCCACTCAATCCACCATACCCACCCACCTCCCCTCATTTCCCCTGGACAGATGAATGGGGTGGGTGGTACTTGAACCCGAAGTCAGCTCTGTCCCTTCAGTACTTCATTCACCTCCTTAAGGACAGTACTCTCGCAGTTCTCTCTCTCCTGTATCATACTTTCTCCCTCTTCTGGTTTGTTTACATGTTTTGAGCAAAACACCTCAAGAGAGTTTTCATATTCATTGTTTTCTCCCTCCTGCCCTCCTCCCCTGGGCAGCAAAGATGTAATTTCTTCATCTATAGTTGATCTGATTTTATCTTGCTACACCTTCCGGGTAGCAAGAGACAATCATGTAGTAAAGTGGAGCCCAGTCCCTTTTGTGTGTAGTTCCCTTCCAATAACCTGGGCATCCTCCCCACAGCCTCTTCTCGCTTCTCAGCCTTTATATGAGGGTGGGGCAGGCTTATGGGAGGGTGGTCAGGTGGCTTAAAGGTCCTTATGAAACCAGAAGGGAGAAGGGCACCTAGCTTTGTGCTGGCTCCTGGGGGTGCCCGGGATGGCACCTGCTAGACTGCAGTTTACTATCCCTCTCCTGCCTGGCCACCAGGTGTCCTGCACACCCCGGAGGCAGTGATGGATGGCTAGCGATTTTGTGGGCCCTTTCTTTACACAAGTGGTGCTCTGACACCCGCCCCCTTGGCTCTCACAAGCTGCTCCAGCCTCTGCTGAGGGCTCCTCACTCTTCCCCCCCCCCCCTCGCATGCCAGCTCTATGGAAGGCTAGCTGGGTTTCAGATTAGTGCGTGCGCCAAGCAGGCTGTCCATGCCAACAGTACCCTCCCAGACGGCTTTGTGCTCCTCACCCTCATCCACACCTCCCTTCTCTGCTGTGTCCTCTCCATGCAGCTTGTACCAACTGACCTACTCTTAGCTGTTCGTTATCTGCCCCTCCATCTCCCAACGTCATGTGCTCTGGAAGGCAGGGCCTTCATCTGTTGTTTTTCGTGCTCTTTCCCTAGTGCCCAGGTCAGTACCTGGTACTTAGTGAGAATTTGATAAATATTTGTTAACTCAGGGAATGAGTAAACTTCTGTTCTTTACAATTCCCAGCAGTTGAGCACAGGACTCTGGTGACGGTGGTTGCTCAGTAAGAGTTCTTTGGGAATCTATAATAGTTGGAGATGGGCCCCAGAAATGGAGAGACAGACTGACTCACTGCAGGATTTTTCTAACTTTGGGTACATTGCAGCCCAGAAGGATTGGCCCATAGGGTAGATCTGAACCCTTATAATTGCTTAGTATTCCATGTTTTAGGAAGAAATGGGACCAGAATGACTGGAGAATGACGACACCTACATTCTACATAGTATTTATAAGGTCACTCAACAGCTCCCTGACTTCATACTTCACCTGATGAGAGGGAAGAAACCATTCTCAGGAGACCAGCTATGTGGTCTTCCCACTGAATGAGTGCCTCTCCGCCTGGTGCCTGTGGGGCGAGAGTAAGTCTGGGTCTGGCCTGGCCATGGCGCTGTGTCCCTGGCAGCAAGAGGGGTGCTATGAGGGGGGTCCTCTGAGTATGTCCATTTTATGGACGAGGACACCAAAGTACAGAGGAGCTACTCCAGGTCACGCGGCCAGGAAATGGAGTGCTGCCTGCTTTCCGGGTGTGTGGCTATAGCCACAGTGCACGTGGTCTTGCTTTATAAACCACAGCACCACCAACCTTAGGGGTGCTTGGTAGGACCTGGATCCTGCTAGGAAAGTGTCTCCCAGCTTCATTTCAGTAGCCAGATTTTGTGGACAAATGGGAGGATATGGAAAGTTTTAAGGAGCAATAGGATACAGCCATAAATTGCAGTGTATCTGAGGCACCTTGTAGAAATGCCATAGGTTTCCCATTCTTTTCCCCACAGGAGAGCAGGGTGTGAAGCAGAAGTCGACAAAGGAACGTGCACAGCAATTACTTCATAACATTTGAGCCAATCTTTTATGAAAACGATGCCGCACCAGCTCAGCCAAGGGTTCAGTGAGCCTGAGGGCGGGCTGGTGAGGATGGAAAAGACAGACAAGAGAATAAGCTGGGTCTAAGTGGATCTTCTGTGTCTGGCTGAGGCCACAGAACAGACCCAGACTGCAAAGCTGGTGCTTTATTTGTAGTCAGGGGCAAATAAGGCAATTTACAATGTTCTTGTAAGTTTCATTGTTTTGGCAGCACTTGCTGCCCCTCCCACAGCCCATTAGCTACCCAGGAAAGATCTAGGGAGCAGTTACAAGATCAAGCTTTATTATGCTTAGGGGGCTGTGCAACTTTGCCAGCAGGTCAATCTGAGGCTTCACCTATAACTGCTTCCTACAAAAACATATAAAAGATTGAGGCTTGTAGACATGGCTCTATTTATGACGGGAGCAGGCATCAGGAACAGCAGAGCAGCTCACTGGTCTGATGCTCCTTTGCAGATGTAGCAGTGGGCACACTTGGCACAGCCCACGGGGCAGC